GTGGTGGAACAAGCCGTCCAGTTATCGATAATTGCTTGGTCTCAATCAGTCTTCGTAATTTACTTCGCGGTTCCACGCGGTCCTTCCACCTGGGTTGCCCAAGATGGCGGACCGGTATGCGTGAAATGGCGTAGGACGCGTACATCGTCTTTAGAGCGTTGTAATTCCCGATACGTTGACGAATGTGAGCGAAAATTTTGAAAAGTATCATGTCCCATTACATTCCAGCTATTTAAGTACTTTTATTGTATCACTGAATCTATTACGAAACAATATTTAGTAATCCTCATCTAATATCAAAACACGAAAAAGATCCACAGGGTATAAGAGTAACAAAAAAATCTCTAACTAAAATCAATTTATTCCCTCCACTTCCCCAGTTATTCCCAAAAGCGTACAAGATTAAAAAAAATCATTCTAATCGTCACTTAACAATTTTCCTAATGAAAAATTATTCCATCCCCCTCCATTTCACAGATTACCCTCAAAAGCGTACAAAAATTCATAGAAGATCATTTGAATCGTCAACTAGTTCCCAAATAGTCAATAATTCTAATAAAAACATAGCCCGTCCCCCGCCACGTCTCCAATTACCCTGGAAGGTGTACAAGAATTCAAAAAAGGTCGTTCAAATCGCCAACTACCTAGTTCACAAATACCCAATAATTCTAATAAAAAACTAGTCGATACCCCTCCATTTCCCTCCATAATGTTCGACATCCCCCCCTTTTTTCCGTCACATTATCACAAAACCGAAAAAAAAAAAAGAAGACAGAAGAAGCGAAACTTCGGCTGCCGCGCATAAATACACCGTGGCCGAAACCGCGCGGGTCGTCCGGTGTCCCGCCGCGCGAAGGAACGAATAAATACGGCGCGCAATCGCGCGACATGCGCCCTCACAACTGGGTCACTGTTCAACACTCGCGTCTGAAAATCCATTCCCGGCCCCGTCGAGTCCGCGTTCCTAGGTCAGGGTAGCAGGAGCCAGCCTCTGAGGATCCTCGCAGACATGGGTTGGACAACGTTACGCACACGAGTCGTTAGTATCCCTCTTTGAGTCACACCAAACGGCGTTGTGCACAGGCTCGTGGTCTCGATCGTCAATCAAGTCGCCAGGTCACAATATCAACCGAAACGTGACAGGACAGTGGTGAAATTGTTCACGACTTCATTCTCCAGCGATAGATTCGTGTACCTGGTGTGTTGTTTCATCGTGGAACACGGTGCGTTTGTTGCTACGCAACAAGATGACACCAGGCTGTTGGGTGTACGCTGGCTGCAGAGGTGGGAATTGTCGACGGGTTTTCGTTCGTTTTCAGTGCATTTCTCGACTGGCTGGTTTTTATATCGTGTGCCTTTTATTTTTTTTTTTTTTTTTTTTTTTTTTTTTTTTTGGTCGGTGCGGGAGGTTAGTCACGTGACCGATTCCTTGGTTCTTGACGCAGTGTAGGTGTCTGCGGGGGTTCGTTGACACGTGGGGGAGGGTGACACGTTTTGGATCACGTGCACACACATACAGTTTGGAAATTGTTGTTGTCACCGTGGTTTCGTGTGACTGACGGGATTTCGCCGGGAGTGAGAATGGACTCTTCTGAGACCGTTTTGTGCTGTCTCCCGGAAATTGGTTGCGTTAGCGTGTCCTGAGGCGGGAAGGCAGAATGTGTGCTCTTGGGGATGATTGACGTCCAATTTTCGAGAGGTTGTGTTCACTGTTCTTTAATTGTTCGTAGAAAGATGGAATACATGTGACGGACACTTGGTTCTTCCTTGTAATTGGATATTTTGTTTTCATTCTTGTGATAAATTTTGATTATTAATCACCGCGAGCTACCATCTGTGGATATTTGGATCTCTTCTATTGCAAATTTTGTAAAATATTTGACAATGTTTTGGATGCAGTTTTTAATGATTGAGTATTTCGAAAGTTTGATACATTTTCAGTTCTGAACGTTTTCCATTTTGAACATGCTTAAAAACTGGACAGGTTTCATGGATGTTGAAATTATTTAAGATTTCGAGGAATATTCACGAAATTGTGAATGTTTTTAAAATTTTGAGAATAATAAAAGACTCAAAATTATAGAAAATTTGTTATTTTGATCTGAATGTCTTTGACATTAAAACTGTTTAATTGTTTGAGAATTTGGGTGATTTTGACACTTTTTAGAGTGGTAAAAATGTTGGATATTGTAAATTTTTTAATACTTATAATATTTCGAACGCATTCGATCGAGAGAATTCACAATAATTTCTGAAAGACCAGGGTCCATTCTAGAGCTCGGTTCTTGAAATACCATACGGTTATTGCACTTTCACCCTTCATTCAGCTTCCACCCACCACCACCTGCATCTCCTTCGAATCAATGAAAGTTCGTACAAATTATAATATACTCACAATATAATAGCATATATGATCATTTGTTTTTTAAAAAAAATTTGAGAAACAGTGAATCTTGTTTCCCAATATATTTCTGAAATATTAATATTAACTTTTCATATATATTTCAATGCAGTAATAGAGTTTATGTCAATTTGTAGAACTGTCATTGGGGTAGTTTTCTTTTTTTTTATTTATTTCTAGAGGAGATAAGTATTGAATAGTACATTGTAAGGTGACAGCGAATGTAGTTTGTGTGGTCCATGCACTTTCACTGCATGAATGAAGTCTCCACAATATATTCAGTCCCTGATACAATGGCGTCATACATAGCAGCTTGTTTGTGATCAATAGCGATCCGAGTTTGAACAATAATGTTCATTACGGCTGAAACGATACTGGGAACAATAAAGCCTGATCATTCACACATGGAAAGAATCCTTGAAATACCATTGACTTTCAGTTCCTTTGTACAGTTACTTGGGACCTGTTTCTAACTGTACTTATTTCCAGTTACAAATTTCTTTTGGTATTTGCGTAGTACTTATTCAGTACCTACTTGGTACCTACTTGATACCTAATTGGTATATACTTGATCTGTACTTGGCACCTACTTCGTACTGACTTGGTACCCACTTGGTATTTACTTGGTAGCTATCTTGTACCTATTTTGTATCTATTTGGTACCTACTTGATACTGACGAAGTACTTACTGGGTATCTGCTTGGTACCTACTTGGTACTCACTTGGTACTGACTTGGTACTTACTTGGTACTTACTTGTCACCTCCTTGATACTTACTTGTTTCTCACTTACTATTATTTTACATTAATTAACTGATTTGATAATCATTTCTATTTATAAACTCAATCAGTACTTACTAATATCTGTTCATAAACTGATTTCAATTACAATTCTGAGTTCGATTAGAATTTCCATTTCTGAATTTATTTTCTCCCTATTCTAATTTACTTCCATGTCTAAACTTATTTAATACTCACCTCTGTTTAATAACTTATTCCTGTTTTATTTGGTTCTAAATTTCCTTCTTTGTCAGATTCCCTCGTTCTCTATTGTCTCTCGTCTCTTTGGTGTACATTCATTTTTGCTGTGGCGCAGGAAGAACCTTGTCATTATTATGATTGTTTTTATGAAACTCTAGATGTTTAAGGAAATATAAATTTTTGTGGACCAATTTATAGAAACTGGATTTGAAATAAAAATTCTTAACTATATTAAGGGTTCTATCGGATTCCAAGTAAAATGAAAATTCCATTGAACTTTTTTTTATACAATTGGATTTTGGACAGTTGTTAATATTACAAAATACATAAAATCCTCATTCTGGTTATTAGATAATGTCAATTTGGGCATTAGAGAAGCGCGAATGTACTCGTAACAACTGAAACACTTCGATGACTAAATGACTCGAAACAATGGAAGAGGGGGAGGGGTTGAACAATCGAGTGTCCACACATTGTACGCGCACAGGTGCACACGGGAGTGTGTATCTCGCACAGGGCATCGGGTGTGCAGAGTCGAATCCAATTAATGCCGGGCTCCTTCGTCGTATTAAAACCGTGTGCTGGCTTCCTCTTCCATTGGATATCTATTTACCAGTCGGTCGCACACCACCCGTCACGCAAGTCGGCCGGAAACGCGGCTATTTCCATTTGCAGCGACCTGCGAAAACCGATGAGCACCCTCCACGGAGTTTCTGTAATTTTTCAGTGAAAATGATACCGGTAGATTGAATATTACCACAATAATATCAGTGATATATCAATATCAGTAATAATATCAGTGGTACATCAATATCAGTAATAATATCAGTGGAACATCAATATCAGTGATATCAGTGATATTTATAAAAATGAAAGAAGTAGAATGGATATTATGAAAATAATATCAGTGATATAAATATAGTAATAATATAAGTGATGTCAGTGATATTTATGAAAGAAAAACAGAATAATAGAGGAAGTTAAGTCGACTCCAAATGGATATATTATCTTTGTTGAAACTCGTTTCGTAATTTTTCTTTGCAATTACAAATATTAGGAAGTGTCTTAATTCCACTTTTTACGAAGCAGTTGTACAAATGCAATATTTAAGAGAAAAAGTGTATTATTATAATTTCCGTGTCAATTCGACGAACAATAGACAACAGGTGTCCTTATTAAAAGATTTTATCTAGATAATACCCAACTACAGTGAATATTATGTAAAGGAATATTTTTAAATATAATAATCTAGTTATTGAATTATGCATGCAAATACTTTAATTTCATTTCAATAATAACGTCAGTATATAGTTTCAAAATCAATTCTACTTATGTTTAATACCAGACTGAGAATAGCATTAATTTTAAGTAATATTCCAAAGTATTTTTAATGATTGAAATTTTAATTGGGTAATTAAAATGTTAAATATTATTATTAGCCTAGCTACATGGAAAAGTACAATCGATTTAGATGCTATATAAACGTTATCGCTGAAGTAAAATTTAAATGTCCACTTGAATTATTATGTAAATTATTATTTCAATAAATATAAATTCGAACGGCAAAATAATGGAAAATTGGAACGGAAATTTCATCCGTGGATCGTTTCGATTTACAGAAAGAGCTGTTCGGCGGCGGAGAAACCGGTCAACCGGATGGGGTGAGCAGCCGGAAGATGTCGAACGGCTCGACCGGAAGTACCAAGCACAAATGGCTGAAAGCGTTCAAGAGTCTAAAGACGACCTCGCCGCCAACACCGCCGTCCACAGACAAGTCAGTATACAAATCCCCGTATCTCTAAAAAAAAGTGATTTTTCCATTATTTTTATAAAATTTCGTTCAAATTATTAATTCTTTTCTAATCATCATTTTTATAAAATTCATTTCGTTCCTATTTTGGTACAGTAGCAGAAAAAAAGTATTCGTACATCGATGACACCTACTGTCACCTAATAGTTAATAATTTTTAGAATAATACTAAGTTCTAAATTATATTTTTCCATTGGTAGAAAACTAAATTATTATAGAATAATCGGAAGAAACAATTTTAACTTAGTGCCATACTAATAACAGAATTTATCAGTTGATAATACATTCAATACTTTTTTCTCTTACAATTGTTCAAGTTTAAGTGTGTTAGAACAAGTCGTGTGAAATTATTCAAAATCACGAATATTTATTTGTTTGCTATTAATTTATCAACGAGCAGTGGCAATTCACAAGCTTATCGCGAGTACGCCACTTATTATTTTTTTTTTTGTGTGTCATAATAGTGTGGTTTAAAGGAATTGTGCCGTGCATTAACCAGAAGTTATTTTCGAATGTAACTGGAATTGTTGTTTTGCGAATGCCGACTAACACAGAGGAAAGCAGGCGATGTACCATGCTGTGTCGACGGTCGTCGCCATGTCCAGGTAAAATACTCACAATTCTTTGCCTAAATAACAACTTAACAGCTACTTGTGATTATCTAGATGAATTTCGATATACAAAAGGTTTAAACTATGGAAGGATTCTGCACGTGTGTTAATTTTTCCAGTGTCTTCCAAATGATCATTTGCAAACTCTTTTCCGCCATTTTGTATGCAAGCCAAAACTCAATTTTTCTTTCCAACATTTTAAGTGGGAGTTAGTCACCAAACTATCCCCTAAAAGATTAGAATGTATTTATAGAATGTCCGATTATCTAATGTTCAGTATAGTAGTTCATTTATACAATCCCAAATTCATTTCAATTCAATATAGTTATTCTGTTATGCTATACGAAATTCAGTTCAATTCAGTAATTCCTCTCAACTCAGTCTTGCTTCATAGAGTTCATACATGTTTCCTCTCGAACCAATCAGGATTCCCTTACTCGGATTACTAAGAAATTTCTGGTCGGTGCCCATTTGCCAGAAAATTGATCCATAAAATTCTATATACTTGAAAACACCCTTGACCATTCCGAGAAACCGTTCCTTGTCTTCCAGAAAAAGCCTCGAGTCCGAGGGCGGACACACGTGGCGCGAGTACACCTACAGGAAGATCACCCCCTGCGACGCCTGCGGTCAGGTGTTGCGCGGTCACAGCTGGCAGGGGGTCAGATGTCGCGGCTGCAAGGCGAACGCGCACACCGATTGCATACACCTCGTACAGCCGGCGATGTGCCCGAGCCTGGCGCCGAAAAAGAGCGGCGGCATACCGCTTCTTCGACGTCAGAAGACCCAGGCACAGGCAGACGAGGCGCCAGTCGCCGAGCACAGTAAGTACGAACCAGTTTTGAACCCTGGTCTGTCTATTTGGTATATTAACTTCTTCAAGGTTTCCTTGCCCCGCTGAGCGGGTGCTTTTCTCTCTCTCTCTTTCACACACTCACTCTTTTTTCTCTCTCTTTCTCTCTCTGTCGTTGTACAGGATGATCGATGCTCTCGTCGGTAAACGTCAGTAGCGATAGTTAAAAAAATTTGTCATGAAATTCGTTTTGTTAATATTTTGTTTATCATTTCCCCCCTTAGAAGATAGTTACAGAAATTTTTATGAAATTAAGTTTGTTAATATTCTTTTTATCATTTTCCCACTTAGTAGATAGTTACACAAATTTTTATGAAATTCATTTTGTTAATATTTTTTTTATCATTTTCCCCCTTAGTAGATAGTTGCACAAAGTTTTCTAAAATTCACTTTGTTAATATTTTATTTATCGTCGTCCCCCTTAGCAGATAGTTAACAAAATTTGTTTGAAATTTGTTTCGTTAATATTTTGTTTGTTCATCGTTTTGCCCCATTGGTTTCGAGATGCATGTTTTTGTTATGTTTCCTTTATATGCTGAGGAATATTGTCAAAGATATTTGTATTTTATATTTTTTTTTATATATCAAGTAAAAGTTTGAAACAGTGGGGGAAAATCATAAAATATATCGTCATTCTAATATTTTATGCACATTACGTTGTTTTATATATTTGAGACATTTAATACATATATTTTTTTTTAAAGTGTCACCTGAAATATTTCTTATAATACCCTTAGAAACTATCAACAATAAACACGTTATCACTTTAACAATAAGTTGGCACCTTAATAGTAATATTTATCAGTCCTCATATTTATCTAATATTTATACATAAAATTTACCCTGATCTCCTGCATAATAACAATGTATCCAAAACGAAAAGGAAACATTTCAGGTGATAAATTCAAGTAGAGAATGAAATATGTTTAATCCAATTACTTCAAACATACCTCTCCCCTCTAAACAATTTATTAAAAAATTCTTGGATTCCCAAACAGAGTCAAATTACAAGAATTCTCTAAGGGTCGATTACCATCAATAACCATCAGCACTTTCTTGCATTAGAAGTCAAAAGATTTCCAACAAAATAATTCGTATCGCGAGAGCACCGATCGATCCTTCAACTAAAAGGAAACGTAAACAACCGTCCCCGGAGGATCAACCTTTGCACGAGGTTTCGTTCCTCATTTTATCTCACATCGACGTTTAACGATCGATCACCTTCCCCCAATCCCCCTTCACCCACCCCCTCAATCACCGCATCTGTATTGTCCCTTCGATAAGGCACGTGAACAAAACGAAAACCCCGAACGACGATCAGAAATACACCGTTTAGTCGCAATTAACGAAATCATCCACGGGAAATTATGTATAATCGGATCGTTCGCCCGATCGGAACCCTCTGGTTTCCCTCTTCTCGCGTTCCCGCGGCGAAACCCTGAAGAAGGCTGCAGGAAAGGGATTGATCGCTCCCAATAACGTAACCGCGACGTAGTCGATGGCATCGTACCGGTGTCGTTTTGTTGCTTTCATTTGGAGTCGCTGAAGCTGAACACGATCGTTCGGGGGCTAATAATAACGAATTGAGACCCTGGAAGCTGGTAAAACGCAGTTAGTTTTCAGTAAAGCTGGCGTTACATGAGTGGATCGCAGTTTTTTCGATCGTTCGGGGTCTAATAGCACCGAATCGTTATAATATATTGAAAATATATTGGAAATATATAGTACATATTAAAAGATACTAAAATATATTGAAATATATTGAAATATATTGAAGTATATTAAAATTTATTACGATATATTGGAGTATATCAAAATATATTAAAATATATGGAAGTATATTAAAATATATTATGATATACAATATATTAAAATGTATTGAAATGTACTAAAATACATATACTAACAGTATATTAAAATATTGAAAATATTTAAAAAAAGGACCCAAAATTAATAGAGTAGTGGTTGTTTATCACGAAAAGTGTTACGATGCGAGTAAATCAGAATTTAACTTCTATCCCTAGCAGTGAAACTATAGGCATTATGATTGAAACATATAATTCTAGACCTTGTAATTAGGGGATTGTTTTGCACTATACTATTTCCTTTTTTTTTTTTTAATTTTAATAACTTTAATTTTACTAGACGATGTAGTTGTGGGGTTGCTTTACAATAATATCCTATTTATATTATTTTTAATAATTTTATATTATTATTGATAGTTTATTAAACGATAGTTAAGTAACGGTACTACGAAAATATTTAAATATTTCGCAACTAGGGAGGTTGGCGATACCATCCCTAGGGTGTAGTCACGAAAGGATCGATGAGATCATCGGGTAATCGTGGTCAGAGGTGACCCACCACAGAAATAACCAGTCTGGGGGAGTGGAGTCCCTGTCAAAAATTATTCGGGACTCTATCCACCCCTTCCCTGTTCACCCCCACCCTCCAAATTAAACGGCGGTTCGCTACATGCCGCTAATCCTTTCAACATGATTTACTTCACTTGACGTCAGAGTGAACCTCTACCCTCCGAACGATCGATAGTAATTTTCGTATATGTACCCTGTCGACCAATAGGTGTCAGAATTACTCAAACCAAATTTATTCTAATATCCGCCAAATGTTGAAGGCCACTACAGGCGAAGACATCCTCGCGACGGAAACATTTTTCTTCATTATATTTAATTGGATCAGCTTCAGTGACCTCGAACGAACGACTCTAGGTGACGCGCCAAGTTTAACTCTTAACGACAAGTACTGGTCCTTTGAACAACAAGTGTCTTCAATTTAACACATTAACGTTATTCGTTCTCTGTACAATACATAAAATGTTCAATAGAACTTGAAACAGAGACATTCTAGGTAAAAACATTTTTCTTTTTTAGAAAACATTGTTAATTTGCAAGTATCACTTTAACAAATCAGTTAATAATTCTTAATTTATTCAGACATTCTTTCTTGATCATCTTAATTGAAAGCATACTTACATAATACAAAAAATAGGTGAATTAGAGTATTTCTTCATCTCTTCATTGTCGTTACTTCAAAAAAATAAAACACTAACGTGTTCACTATCGTTCTAAATCATATTCTTTCTAAAATTTGTGCTATTACATCATAAAAATGAACACCTAGTGTTCCAACAGTTACCTCTGATGGAACAAAGAGACACATGACCTAACCTAACTGCAATGAATGAATAAAAAAAGAATCAGGGCACCATCCTCGTGCGTCCCATGAAAATTTGAACAAAGACACTTGTTATCCAAGGGACCTCTCTGTGTAAAGAGTTAAAAAAGAAACCTGAAGCGAACGAAAAATAAAAAAAGAAGAAACAACAGGAAAGCACCTCCTGTGATGTCTCTCGTGTGCTTTTGCATTGCTGTCTCTCTATCCCGTGTGGACAGACGTGGACGCCATATACCAGGTGCTGAAGCAGGCAGGCGAGATACGTGGAAACTCGACAAACTCACCACCTACGCCTCCCACAGCAGATCATCCTCCCTCCGGTGCAGCACCTTCGTCAGCGAGGGCCTCCTCCCACCCCTGTTCCTCGTCCACCTCTGGTAAGGCACAGCACCAATTCCTCTTGACCTTGAAGCAGAATGCTCTACCATATGCATAGAGATAAAACGCTCAACGTATCTTAATATTAACACTGACGAGCTGTTTCGAGTGCATTCCACTACGTACAAAGAGAAAAAGGGAAACTATTTTATAGATTCTGTGGTATATCAATTTTATGAGAGTATTAATTTGACGTAGATTAGTAGAGGCAGAGTGAAACTAGTTTGGAAGAAATATTTGTGGTAGGAAGCACAGCATATACAGGTAGAAACAAAAATGTTGGAAAACACGGAAATTGGAGACTCCTGAGGTGATTTGAAACAAGGTTTTCCTTAGCAAAAATGTTGTCCGAGGCTTTGTTAACGAGATATTAACGAAAAACCCCGACCAATCAGAGCGCGAGTCTGCCGGCCGAGTTCCCGCGGTAACGTTGGCTACGCGCTGCGATTGGTAGTCAAGGTTACCGCGGGAACTCGGCTGGTAGACTCGCGCTCTGATTGGTCGGGGTTTTTCGTTAATATCTCGTTAACAAAGCCTCGGACAACATTTTTGCTAAGGAAAAACTTGTTTCAAATCACCTAACGAATCTCCTATTCCCGGGTCCTCCAACATTTTTGTTACACCTTGTATATTATTATTATAGGTAATATAGTAAAAGAAACACGTGTATCGTTGAATAAATGCTTCACATTTTAGAACAGATGGTAATTTGTTTTTATTGTAGTTATCTCATGGAAACAGTTTCACAGTATCTCCCTGCGCACAGGAAAATTACTGATGAATGGGTAAAGTTGTGAAGAAGATTCTTTGAAACTGTTGCGTGGTTCTCAGAGTTTGCTGAAACGTAGATAAGATTTATAGCAGCAGGGATAGAGTTGAATTATTTTTTTAATGTATTGGAGGGAAAAATACGACCTTCCGAGTCCTGTTTGGTAATATGAATTTGTAAAGCCTGTAAAAAGTTTTTAAGAAAGTCTATAAGAATTTTCTTCTTTTCCCATTTTTCAACAAGAAACATATTTTCGTATTTTCAATTACATTTCATGTATTAATTACGTTTTAGTGTAATTCCAGTGGATCATAAAATATGTACCCTCTTTCTTATTGAAAAATACTGCCATATAATTTTAAAGTTAAATTTGTCGAGAAAGTTGTCGATTGAAGGTTTGCAGTTTCACATTTGTGACTTGTGTAGGATTTCAAGGAAAGCCATTCATATGCAAAACTCATATATGCATCATATTTCCTGAGTGTGAACCATTGTTAACATAGAAAATTGTTACATGAAATATATATCGAGTGCGTGGAGGAGGTTGAAAGTCTTCAGAAACCCATGGAAGTATCACGAAATTGCAGTGAATGCACTCGAGAACAGACTCTTGCCAATTACATAACGGGTCGAGTCAGCAATTTTCTGCTTCGAGATCTCACGTAAACCCCTGTTCTCTTTTCTTTTATTCGTTTAATCAGAAGAAGAATGCTTGTCTTCTTCAGGGACATGACTCGTAATTTCACACTTTCAGTTTTTTTTTCTTCTTTCTCTCAATTGTCTCTCTTCTTCTCCCGCTTCATCGTCATTCTTCCCCTTTACCCGCGCCATCGTTAACTTTTACGCGAGCATCGGTGAAAACATGATTTAACGTACTCCATTATCGAGGGATATAATCATTTCTTCCACATCTTTGATCGTGCGTCGAGAAGTTTGCTCGTGTTTGAAGAATTTTGAAAGCATTGACGAAGGTGTTGAAATTCCTTCAGAGCCACTTTTCAACGACTGTATTTTGAATTTTTCGCGCCATTTAAACGACCATAATTTTTTCATATATTTTTTAATTAATACTCCACGAAATTACTACGTGGGAGACGACCTTACCTTTATTTTAAACAATTTATTATATTTTATTCTGTATTGTAGCAACGATCAACTGGATATAGTTAATTTAAGAAAAATATTATAATTATGATATTGGAACCTTTTTCCTTAATCATTTTTTTACTATTCATTCACTGTTTATCAGAGAACAAATGATAACGATTTATACGGAATATTGTAATTATAATATGAAAATTCTTTTCTATTTTGTATTGTCAGAGATCAGTGAATCGTATCGGGTAATAATTAAAAAGATCGTTATCGCTGTGTCTTTATCGTAAGATGTGTCTGCGTTTGCATTTGCGCGACGTAGGAAAAAAAAGGAGGAAATACCGAGAAGCATCTCGCGACTATCTTTTCGAGGATCTTCGTAAAGCCTCCAAGGTGTCTTTAAGAGCTCTCGAGGAATAAAGCCTAAAACCCTCGGGAGACGCGCGATTAAAGATCGACAATTCGGAGTTTCACCATTGTCGCCACTCCTCCGCTGAGAACAGAAAGTGTTTATCCACTTTTCCACGAGTTTCGATTCACGAGAGCACTTTGTCCCCCCCCCCCTTCCGCTCAATCAGTGTTGGGTAGAATCATAAATTAATTACGAAAAATAGCTCTTTCCGAAAATATTTAAGTGATCATTATTTAAGTAAACATTTCGATGTGGAATTCGATCAATTAATTCCTCGTGAAAAACTGAATCGAAAACATGCTATGCAGTTTCTTTATAGGTACGTTCGTTTTCGAGTAATACGGCTTTGAAAGTAACCGAACTGTATTTAAATATGGCAACGTATCGTAACCGCGCCATATTTAAAATGCGCGTCGTTTAAATACTTACGAAGTCCTCCATATTTTCGACTCGATTATACACGAGAAATCGATTCAGCTGAAAATTGGATAGCAAAACTGTGCAGATTAAAAACAAATTTATATAATTTATATTTACTTCAAACTAGAAAATACGACATTCTAGTCGGTATAAATACCCAACACTGCCCCAAGTCTCAAGTAACGAGAGAGCAACTCCTAGCAGTCATCGAAGACTAACACACTCATCGAAACCACTCGAATCAATTCCAAGCAATTCCAACGCCAAACGGATCAGAAATAAAAGACCGAATCGGGACGAACAGTCAGCGATCATAACACAAAGGATACCTATGGGATTATTGGTTCACTCTCACCGATCATTAAAGTAACAATGGCGACCATGGAATTGCACATCGACTAACAATATCAAATAACTCCAAGACCTCTAACAGCTCGTGATTCGGAGAGCTTGAGAGAGAAAAAGCTGCCACGAAAGACTAACGATATATTGTACGAACGAATGTCATCGTGGAATCGTTGCAATTCCCATTGACCAGGAAGAGGCAGCGGCGGATCGATGTCCGCAACCAGGCCGTTCGGGCAGCCCTTGGTGTTGATGACCCACCAGACACCGTCGACCTCGAGGTTAATGGAGCCTCCACGACGCGGCGGCAACAGAAAACGATGACCCGTCAAGTGAACCGGCCGTGTACGACACGATTTTTTTCTTCACTGTCCCGCGAACGACGAGAAATTGGATGAAATCGATATCTGAGATTGAACGAAAATGATAAGATAAAGGGTATAAATGTCCCCGCCTCTTTGGGGGACGCAGAACAGTTTGAACGCAGAGGGAACACGTTCGACGTTTAAAAATCGTGGAATTGCTTAGGCAAAAGAAAGGAATTGCCGATGCAACTCCAGTCTGACGATCATTTTGTTGATGTATACAGCCATCTTTGTGGACTGGAGAACGCCTTACGGTTAAAAAACGTGGAATTGCTTAGGTAAAAGAAAGGAATTGCTTATGCAACTCCAGTCTGACGATCATTTTGTTGATTTATACAGCCATCTTTGTGGACTGAAGAACGCCTTACGGTTGGAAAATGTGGAATTGCTAGAAAAGGGGGGATAGAATTGCAAACAAAATTTAGGTTTACGGATATTTTTTTAATACAGCAGTTCAATTTTATTGCTGTTTTGCACAGGGTGTACGGGTGTTAATTGTGGAACGGAATTATTGGAGGGAAAATCGGATTGAAATTGCAGCTGAGCTTTACAGAAGGAGTTGGAAGGACTGTTTATTGTGTTATATTGGGTGGAATTGTTGGACTTTCGGTGGAATAGAAGGTGAAATTACTGTGGTTGTCCTACTGTGATGTTAAGAATATTTCTTATCCATAAGGAATTCCGGTTCTCTAGGAAAGGAAGAACTTGGAATTGCTAGCGATATTTTGAGATGAAAACGTTTAACGATTGTTATTAAATCTTTATTTAACTATCGTCCGATAATGAAAAATATTACGAAGGTAATTTGGAAGTATACCCTGAAATAGAAGGAATTGCAAACGCGTCACCTTCGATTTAATTAATGAAAAGAATTGCTTACATACCTTCACGTTATCTTTGATATGTCCTTGAACAAAGAGTTGAAAGGAACGGAATTGCTCTTGTATTTCTCGCTTATTTAAACGATACCAAATGAAAACGAACTTGGAATTGCCGAGATAATGAACCAGAATGATATCAGTTCCAATTATTCACATTTTCTACTCGAGACAACCGCAATTGTTGGAAACTAGTAAACCATGAAAAGCGATTTGGAATTGCTGAATTATAGAAAGTTTTGTTTTTTTTGGAATTCTCGCCCTGCGATTAGTTAAAAATGGCTACTTTTTGTTTTCTGGAAATATTCAGGATTCATTTTTGTTCTTAAATTCAGCATGACCAAATTAATTAAAAAAAAAAGTTGAGTACAAAAAACGTTCCTAAAGCGGTGAAATTATTTGCAGGATTTTTATTGTATACGTACAGGTTGTTTCAAAAAAGACTATGCCAGAAAGGTAAGGATCCCCCATATACTATAAAAGCTTAAGATAATCTTAACATGCAAATTAAACGATACCAAAGAACATTATCATTAACAATATTTTCACCAAAAGTATTAATAATTGCTATAATATAATATAGAACGATAATACAAAAATAATTTGCATTTGGATTATTTTAAATTTCCATATAAAGAAAAGACGATTTCACTGCATAGTTTCTTTTGAAACGAAATTGCTAACATTATCAAATTTAGGATTGTTTGTCAATCTTGAAAAGTTATAAAACAAAACCACTGAAAAAAATCTTCAATGAAATCGTAATTACTCTGTATTAGTCACGCGTTAGTTAGAAAATAATTGAGAAAAGGGAAAACGTGGTTTGAAAAAAAAAACAAATCTGTAACTTACCAAAAAAACGCTCATCTTTGTAACTCAGACACACCACTTAAGCTACGAGCTGAAATACAAATTTGTGAGATGTTCGTTTTTTATGGTAGGAAATAAAAACGTTATTTCTTAAAAAAATGTTTAATCTCTCGATTGTTCGTTGGCAAAATTGAAAGTTACCAAAAGAAAAACCAAAATGGGAACAGTAGAGGGGCGAGTAGGGTTGGACACAGATAAAGGGGAAGAAGGAAAACTGGGGGAAAAGAAAACGTGGAAAACAGGCGGTGTGTAGCACGAATCCACAGATCAAAAGCGAACGAATATATCCTAATGAAGAGAAGAAAAAAAAACGTTAAAGCGCCACGGAGATTCCATGTAAATAATGTAAATAAAAAGAAAAAATTGTATCTTCTGCACCCCCCTGCTATCACTTCTTCGCGCGAGTCGTGTCCCATTTCTCTGTCTCTCTATCTTTCTTCTTTGAAATAAAAAAACAACAACAATAGTACAACATTTTTTGTAAATTCTCTTTTTCTCTGTGAATTCAACCATTGGTCGAATTTGTCGCCTGAAAAGAAACGTTTCTGTGTGCATTTATGGTGTATCTGTATCTATGGTGTCCTTGCTTTTGGCCCTATGTGTTCTTCCAGCCTCGGCGTTGACGGCAAAAAAAAAAATAATATAAATTTATTCACTGAACCAAACAGAAACAGAAAAGTACTAACATCTCTAGTAGGAATATGTTGAAAAGTGAATATGTATGTATTTCGCAATACTTTCCAAGAAATCTACTTTTCTTTTCGTTTCAGCTGTTGCTCAAGGGTACTGTATATCTCCATTTGTTTGAACTCTGTTGCACAATATTCACTTGCTTTGTGTGAGCACTACTAACAACTAATCTTTCTGCAAGTTTCATTTCCTGTAACTATTGTCGATTAGTTTGATTACTCTTGCTAAATCTGTAACTCTACTTGATAAATAGGGTGTGGCACTTAAAACAGACCATCTGAATAATTTTTATTTTAACATATAAATTATTAAATATCTATTATAGATCAAATAATATAAATATCATTATTTAAAATAAATATCCTTAGTATAATTTAATACGCAGATTATCCCATATATTATTTATAATTAAAAATTATAATTAAATGAAACTAATTAAATTTTCAATTATATAAATTAAATAATATAATTTAATTAAAGATCTGAATTACTTATCATCGTTAAAATTATATTTATATTTATTATAATACAAAAAATGATATACAATTAGCTATCTCGGCTGTCACTGGTGATAGAAAAAAATAATTTAATGTGAATAGTTTTTTGATGGACACGTAGAGATCTTATGAAGGTCAACCTCGTTTTTCTAAATGAGAAGACATGTTGTTTTACGTACCATTTAGTAGTGCGTTCTAAGACGCGTGCAATGACCTACTTATGAAGCTACAAAAGGTAAGAAACGAAGTTGACCTTCATATGACCTCTAAGCGAGCACCTATCAAAGAACTATTCGCATCAAATTGTGTGCTCCTCGATATTATTCTGACACACTTTTTTTCTACCACCAGTAACAACAGAGATGTTCAGGTGGCTTGTTTTAGGTGCCTGACCCTGTATAATGTCACTGTCAGTAGTCGTTGGTTCGCATTCCGCTAAGAGTCTTCTGATCTGCTTGACCAAAACAAAACTATGCTAACAAAACTAGCCCGCCAAAAATGTGTCGTCAACGTCGAGCAATAGACTAATCTCAAAGGCTAACTTGTTATGATCGATAATTATGGAACATGAAGCGCCGCACAGCCCGCAACGTAGACGGGAGAGGCTTAACCTGAGGATGAAGAGTCTCAGTCTGGACTCGCCGGAAGGCTCGGCTCATGTTCGACACCGACCACGCGACTACTACACCGGTGGCCAAAGAGAGTCCACGCCGCCTAGACACTCCGACAGTGGAAGCATTAACAGACTTTGTAAGTACCACCTAAAACTAGGTATCCACATGCAGTGAGAGTTAAAAGTGAATATACACTTTGAAAGTATGGGATTTATCCATATTTATTTCTCTCAATTTAGAATCGAATATTTCGCACAGATATCCTATTCTATTGTCGATTTTTAATACTCAAGGTCAGATGAAGGTCACACAATTTTAGGTGATTGGATTGGTCTTGATTTAAACTGTGACGTCATGCTGATAAAAATATGTGGTCCCGTTAAAAAAAACATCGATGACCTTGAAATTTCGAAAAATATAATCTTGAGAAAAAGTTTCGTTTATCATGGTATTTGCAGCTTTTAACCGAATAATATTTTTTCTCTCACATTTTCTTGTGAGATAAAGGTGCTAACGTTAAGTGGGACACCCTATGTAGGTCCAGAATTGTTTGTCCACAGAGTACAATTTTTCTTTTAACCCATTTTTATCCCACTCGGTTGTAGCACCATGCAGTCCAGGCCAGGGCCACGGTGTGCACAAACATATAAGAGGAGCGATCAGGATGTCGAGTATGGAATTACCGGACGAGAACGAGAAATCCTATTCCTCGGCGAGCACTTCACCGTGCCCGTCCCCGCATACCAACAATCAGAATCACATGAATCCACCGGGGAAACGTGTTCTGCCACCCAACAACCTCTATGTGGCCCTTTACAACTTCGACGCACGTCACCGGGACGAGTTGGATCTGAAGTAATCGTTTTGAACAGGATTCTGTGCTTAGAGCTTCGTCAGAACGTAGATCCTTCAGAAGCTGACATCCTTGAGAATACTCAGTCGACCTGATTTTTACTCGATTTTCTCACCTTTTTTAAGTTCGACCACATCTCCTTTCCTCTGCTTCGGTTCCTAAATTTTGTTACATACAGAGAGGGTGTTTCATAAGAATGTCCACGTTGAATGAACTTTATGAAACGCCCTTCCGTAGTGTTACGTTGGTTGTTCCTTTTTGCTAACATAGGTGTGTAATGTTTTTGTAGGGCTGGTTATAAAATAACAGTGATCGACAAATCAGAGAAGGATTGGTGGAAAGGAAAGTGTTTGGGTGGAAGAGTCGGTTACTTCCCGAGTGCGTATGTGATGAGAGTGGAATCTGGACAGAAGACTCTCCAGGTCACTCGTAATCTACAGCTTACTGATCAGATCACATTATTACGTGATCAGGTATAGTAATTTGACTGTTTAGAGTCTAAGAAACCGAACGTTTAATTTGTTAGATCGGACACCTTGTTTCTTCCTCTCAAATGTCATATATTCTTCACATATTACAAGCCCTGCGGGTATCATCCTTCACAATCACTGTGAATTAGTTGATGTCTTCTACGCTCCTTCAATGTCTCTAACATCCATATTCTTTTAGGATTTAAAGTAGTCTCATCGTTTGCTGTAATGATCTAATATCATTATGTATCTTTGGTTACTTTTTTCATTCCTGAACAAGCCAGTCCTATATAAGTTTTCTTCTAACTCATCCCTGTAACATTTCACAAATTTATCTTCTCTGAACTTGATCCTCTGTGTCCTCTGTTCCCATAACACACACAACGTTTTCTTGAGCATTACATAACCTAGTTTAGTAGTGTCCTTAACAAACCAGCTCTGGTAGTGTCTTTTTTTTATATCAATTCATGTGTGTTCGATCTCCAAAATACCTAACATCATTTCTTCTTTCTTCAATACTCAGTTCACCTCTCGGTATATTTAATGTGAACATATTTAAGCCGATAATTGGTCGACCCGCAATCCTCACACGAGCTGTCGCTTGCAGATAGTGATTCAGGTCGGCGAGGAGGTAGATGGCGTTGCGATGGTACGTTGCGCGGCGGATGTCCGTTCCGCGGACCACATCGGAAAGGAGGGCGAGGTACTTTACAAGGAGACCCTGTGTCCCCTAAAGTATCTTCAGGAGGTGTGACAACAGCCCCGGCAGGGTGGCCACCCTGCGGGCGAGCGTCAGAGTCGCGCGTACCTACGCGAGCGATTCTCCGCTTCAGCGCGTCGAAACGTGGCCGAGAAGTACTACGACTGTCTGCAGTGTGCGGAACAGTGTCGTCACGTGACCAGCATCGTGACCGTTAACAACAACAACAACGCGAACAGCACGAATAACAACGTGAAGCTCACCCATAAAAGCTCGAAGACCAACAACGCCAACCCAAAGAACGTCACGAACAACTGTCGTGCGACCAATTGTATTAATTCCTCGACGATCAAAGACAACACCAAGATCCTGTCCCGCCTGGACAGCTCCAGGCAGCAAAGAAACCCCAAGATCAGCAATCTGTCCAGGTCCTTGAAGAACCAGCCGTTGCCTTTGACCCCGGCCAAGAAAAGATCCTCACTGGCTCGTCCAGTCCGCGTGCACGACTCATTTTCCCAGCCGAGAAAGCTGATGCCCATAAACTACGCGTTTCAGAGCCTTCAGAAAAGGGAGATTAACGAGTCAACGTATGAGGATGATGAACAGGAGGAGACCAGCTGGCCTATCAGGCTGAGGCTCGAGCAGATGCTCGAGCTGACCCTGCCGCAGACCAAGAAGAAGAGGAGGAAGAAGTCGATTAGGCTGATGAAGCAGCAACAGCAGAACAGGCACGTCTGCAAGGATACTGAAAGGCTGCTTCGAGTACTTAGCGTTAACAATGTGGACCAAGATAATAGGTACAACGTCACACGATGCTCTGTCATGTAAGGACTGTGTGGATGGTCGTTAATGGAATCCCAGATTGATGCTTGGGTGGGGCCAGGACTGAGGATTTGAGCTGACAGTACAGATCACTTTGAATGTTATTCGAGATTGAGCACGCTTAATGACTCTTGGATAATTGCCATGGACAGTACTAATGGTAGCAATAGAAGCCCCCTGTATTTATTCGATCGCTGCGTCTTTCAAGTAGACAATTGTCCTGGTAACTATAGATAATCTCGCGAACAGTTGTGAGACAAGAAATTTTTGCGAGCATTTAAGAAAGATATGTGTGGTGACCAAATTGTATTCAGTGCTATCTCAAGATCGTTGAATAATATTTAAAGTGATTATTCGTACTTGGGCTAGGAAGATGCACAGAGGCGTGGATTAGTTTCAGGGTAGTTGATTTCTTCAGTAAAAAAAAAAAGAAGTATATGTATATAGTGTCTTTTTATGAAATACTGAAACAGGGTTTCATAAATTCAAAACCTAAAACTAAGTTCCTTAATTGTATTGAAACTTGTCAACGTTACCCTTGTACATTCTGTTCCGCAAATACTCTTCAGGTGTTTTTCAAAGAATTCGGACTTTGAGGTTATGTGATACGTATGAGTACATTTATTAAGATTTCAGTTGTTATACATACTATTGGGTAATTATTACACTTTGTGGGACAATGTGTACAAACAGCTCTGGCATCAGGGTTTTCAGAAGCTGAACAAGCAGGTATCCCTTCTTGTGGGGGACACATGTTCCACAAAAACCGTAACGGGCGGTTCTTTGTTCAGTGTGACACGTGTCGTTGGTTACTATCAGTTGTTGAGTTTAATAAATTCGCCTCTGGGAACAGAGTGATTGGTAATTATATCGTGTTTAAGAATAGAATGTTAACGATCAAAGGCTTAAGAGTATATATTATGGCAGTATATATATATATATATGACGTTATCCGAAGACAAGGCCAGACGACGGAAGAAACGAAGAAAGTACAATTCATGGTGACCATTGTGTGGCAAAAGTGTTGTTCAAAACGACTCACAAATAATTGGAATATTTCTGTCGATGTAAGGAAAGAATGAATCTTGATGTTTGAGTCCTGCAACAAGGATTTTACTTTGATTGTTGATTTATTTCTTCAGTTGTTTGTGTCAACACACAGCCATTTATAAACGTGTGCGTGTGTGATCTTTAATATATTGTTCGCGAGCACGATTGTTTTGGGGAAAATTTCTCGTTGTTGTGTTCTTTGTTAAAAGAATCTTTTGCGAAACTATCGATGAAGATATGGCCAGTCTGATCTTCTTTTTTTAGAATTTTGTTATGCAGTTTTTTAAGCAGCTAATAAGCGTTATTAATAATTAAGGAGAATCTAAGGATCAAATATGAAATTGAAACATAACCGAGTGCTTGGTCAATTAATGACGATCAAGGACGAAACATTTGATACGAGAAATTTCGTATATCCATTCACGAACGACAAAGAAGTCCGAGATGCGTGAGAAGTCTAGAATCAATAGAGGTCCCCTTTCATTAGCTGATCACGAAATCTTCCAGATCCCACCCGCAGCCTAATCTTCCAATACCGGAATTCGATATTTCATTCCATGACTTTTTCTTTTCAGTGAAGAAATTTTTCTCAATTAGTTCCCCTTCGATTCGATATTAGAGGTATCATTTGAAAATAGAATTTAAAACTTGAAATTTCATTTAACTTTCAGAGTTTTCGGACCGTCAAAGACGGTGGCCGAGTCAATCGTGACTCATGTCAACATCTCGAAATATTTGTTTTGTCATCGTATAAAACCTTCGGTAACCTATGCTAACCGATGGGTTACCGTTGACCCGGCCATAGGAACGCGACGGTTAAAACAATTATTTTTAATGACATTTTCTCCTCGTATTGTTTCACTAATTGGATAGAAATCTATTAACATTGTTGAACCGAATTAAATGAAAATTGCAACTAAGAATTCTAACATTGACACGCTTGTATTTTACAACTAATTCCGTCCCCAAACGGTGAACTTTCAGCTATCGAGACACGTATAATTTATAATTGATTTATAATCGGACATCTTTCAGAAGCATTTCGTCTGCGTTGCCTGGTGAAACGAACTAAAGAGGAATCGTACCTCGAATTGTTTCGTTGTAAAAGTTAATCGAAGTTGTGAAGTAACCATATTTATAAAAACGTTTCAGATGAAATTATACTGGTAATGTTATCGAGGGTCGACAGTCGAATCGCTGGAAGGACGGACACGCAAAGAATTCGATCGAAAAAATTTCATTAAAAAATAAACCACTGGAGCTTGTCGAATACAATAATTTTTAAAAATTCGTAATTTCTTATCAACCCAAAAACAAATGTTATCGTTACTGCTTGCAATTCGACTGTCGACCCTCGTTGTATTTAATAATGTCATATTTTATCTCAAAGTTGACCAATCGCGCGATTTGCATTTACTTGATGTGCATTTACAAACAGCGGTTCCCGAGGCCACACGTTCATGAGATAGAAACATGAAACTATAAAGAACTCACAAAACGACAAAACAGTGACCTCCAAGCGCCGATTCGTGTCCTCGGGAATCCTGCATCGATTTGCAACGTTGAACCTGAGAAGTATATATAGGACGTTGAAGATTATCCATTCCAGTGCCCCTCAGACAAATGAAACACAGATGGAATAGCTGTTCTGAATGTCAGGTAATAGCTTTCTGGCACAGGAGAGTAGAGAATGGATTCGTTCTTTAGTTGGATCATTGTGGATCAGTTGGAAACCAACAGCAACACGCGTTTCTTCTTAAAAGAGCCCATAAATTCCAAAGGGGAGACTAAGTTTTCGAGGGAAACGTTTCCACAGTTATTCAATCCTAGAAGAAAGTCACAATCAGAGATATCTCCGTACTTATTTTTTCACTGTCCGACTTCAGGCTGCTGGGTAAACCGATATCCCAGCAACAGTCGCGCGCCTGACATGCTTTCAACAACGTACAGAGTCCTCTCGATTATTGTCTGGCTTGTCCTACACGATTACTGTCCAGGCGTTATCCCCACGACTGGAGAGGGGGGAAGCGTGGAACCTGTCAAGCGCATACTTTGTTGCCCCTCCGTTTTTATTGCCGAGACTCGGGGTTTCAGGCAAAAAAACGAATTTACCAAGGTCTGAAGCATTTCTCCCTGTAAGATTATTGTCTCGGCGCGGACCCGAGTTCGGGACAATAATCGAGAGGAGTCTGTAAACATTCTCGTCGAGTGTGTCGTGTTCCTGCTTAGAGTCCTTCCGATATAGTCCTCGAGGTCGAGTCAAACTCGTTCGCGAAACTCAGGATAAATCGCGTCACGATAAACGAGGGACGGAACTATTATTATTCGGAACGTGTGTTTTCTAGTCGCAGAGCCCATGGAACTTTGGGAAATTGTGGTATTGTTACTAACTAGTATTTTTTAACCCCAGGTTCTTTAACGTAGATTTATTCTTTTCCATTGTAATTTCCCCATTTTCCTTTTGTTTCCATCAGACTGGGCTCGAATGCATGGTTCTTTGTATATACTATTTTCCCTGAAAGTTTGGATATCATGGAATAATGGAAATGTGGGAAATTACTGGTTGAGAGACAACCGAAAATGTTGGATGATTTTTAACAAACTCTTCTCGATTTATATTTTTTTTCTCTGTCTTTGCCGTTATTCTGACCAATTTTTGTGTATTTCTTTTACACAACATTTAGGGACAACTTTCCTGAATTTTTACTGCGTGAAAGTCTCAGGAAAAATGCTTTCTTAACATTTTTGTATCTGCAGGGATTTGAAACCTGGACCTCCCTACTGTAGGCAAGCGTGCTACTACTTGAGCCACTGAGGTTCTTTTTCTTTTGTACGTCTTCCTACGTATTTGTTGTACATCCAATTATGTTTCTTCGTTTTCTTGTGAACATATTTCAAAGGAAGAATACGATTTTACAGACTCAAGAGAACTTTGTGCACATGCTTTATTTGTCTATGTTAATGGAAGAAATACGTGTGTCATCTGTTTGTAAAATGTTACACGAAAAAAGAGAATGTAAGTTTATTGTTAATATTTTGTATTTTTGGTAATGGTTCCCCAAGACTTGTGAACGAGTTTGCAATTAACATTTGATGAGGACCGAGAGCAGAGTAGCTTAGGATTAAGTATCAGGGATAACTATTGTGTTATTGTACGTTGTAACGCTACATATATTATATTTCATTATATTAAATGCCGTAATGTAATGAGTGCCCTACCCCTGTTAAAGTGTATATCGAATTATTAACTGTACTATAGTGTGTAAGCTATTCCAAACTACCATGCCCAGTATTTTCTAAGTATTATTATTGTGCAGCAGGATGTGTTTGTGTTGTAACTCCTTCTGGTCTGCTGTTTTCTTATTAACTGTAAGTATTTTTCTTGAATTTGTCACTAAAAATTGTTACTTCTGCTCGTGCAGAAATATAGTTCAGTTAACTTTGTGAGTATTGACAAGTATTTCAATTTCTTCACTATTCATGGAAGAGGTTATAGTACTGCGAAGGATCAGTTTTCACTTCTACATATAGTTCTTAGACACTAATGAAACAGCAGTCCAGAATGGAATAACCAAGAACATAAAAGTTAACGGATACTATGTTCACTGAACGAACATGCACAAATGTTTGGTGAATTTGTTGAAACATTGTGTGAGTTCGAGTGAAGCACGATAACGCATCTGTTCAATGGAATGCTGCGTCGAGCAGTGATAGTGGCAGACCGAATTGACTGTACAAGAGATTTCAGAAACGATTCATTTCTATATGTATAAGAGTGGCTGCGGATTAGCTGTGTCTCGTGTGCCATAACTCCTAACGTTTGATATATTTACCACGTTTAGTCCATTTACAAAGAAACCTTTCATACACACCCGAGCAAACTGTGTTTAACCGAATTCATAGACTGCACGAAATATATTATCTATACATACGATGAAGGTTTACCGTTATTCTACCTGAAGAATATCTTACTCGTACGCTTCCAAAGTCCAGTGACCATTAGAACCATGAAGGACAATACTTTCCAGGAGGGAACGAATAAAGAGAACAGGAATTTGCAAAAGTATGACATTTATTCATGTATATTGTTCTCTTAATACATCACTTCACTTGCTCGATCATGCAACAAAGTAACAAAACACTTGGCTACGTCAAACATTAATACACACAAAGAAAAACTAAAAACTTATCAGATAATACAAAAAAAGGGAAGCAAATGTACAGATCTTCTAGTGACCCACTATAGTTTTCAATCAGAAGAACAAGATATTTGCAAAAATTTAAAGAAGATCTCAAGACGTGTAGAGATAGGTGTGAAAGCTTCCTATTGGATTTATTACAGCTGGAAACATCTGTTTCATTCAAAGTGATCTCCTTCGTTCCTCTAAACATTTACTTTCAGTCTCTAATCGTTCCTTACAACTTGTACTTGGCACCCCTGATGATGGGGAATTTGTCTCCGGTGCAGGTTCCCCTGAAGTCATCAGTGGACAGATCAAAGATGGCTACGCCACCCAGACCTTTAGCTTTGGCATAGGCAGCCTTGTTTCCAGCTGTGTCAGGATTCTCATAGCCAACCCAGATTCCATCAGCACCAGTGGTCTCATCATAAGGTTGGAAACCATAGCTGCCATACTTCTTGGACGGATCATTGACGTATCTCAATCGACCCACAGCAGTTTCTGTCAACCTGGAGCACACCTCTGCGTAGGAGAGGACTCCTGGCATGCTTGTGTGCGGTCCCTCTGCTCCTGGGCCATCAGCCACAATTGGTGGTACACCTGATATCTGGCTTTCAGAGGTTAACTTCCATGTCCTGGCAAACGTGGGGATACCCACGACGATTTTTGTGCCTGGTGTGCCATTGTCCAGCCAGTATCTGGAAGTAGAATTTATACTTTACGGATATTTTTCGTTTGTATTCCAAAGCTGGGTGTTTTGTCTGCTTCTACACATCAGATTCTAATCACTTTCTAACTTTCAAATGTTCTAGCCTTCCCTGCTCAAAATGTGGACACACCTAGGTAGCTAATGTAGCTACCAGATGTACCAAGCTCAATAAATGCATGGAATTGAATGAAATATCATTTGTGGATTTCTCACCTGGCTGTAGCGTCAACGTTGTCCTGAGGAACACGTCCATAGCTCTCATAAATTGGTGCAGGATAGTCACCTTCCTGAGGATTCCTTTCTGGAGTTTTCTGGTCAAAGGTCAGCAGATGTACAGCTTCAATGTTAGGCGCCAACAGTCTAGCGTCATAGTAGACTGACAAGAAAACAGAAAAGCTATTAATTAACCAAAACCAGGGAAACATTTTCATACAGGATTCAGAGTACTCTAAATGTTACAGCAACTCCTTAAACGTGCTTCCCTCAATGTTAACACAATTGGGATTCCCGTATAATGTTTTATCTTCTCTACCTACAAGCATTAATCCCTATCTGATTATACTTAAATCCACATGTACTTAATGTAAAAAGAATCCACACGAAAGCTTATTGTTTGTAATTCATTTTCCCGAGCGTCAAAGCACACGTCGCAGATCCCCGTTCTGTTTAATATTTGGAGAACGTGACATTGATTACAAACAAGCTGATTAAGTTCACAATCTTATGGTAAATAATGGGGCAGTAGCTCTAAACCACTACCCTGTTAATTTATACAATGATACTATCATCTATGATCGTCAACGATAGAACATAAACTGATAGTGAATGTAGAACTCTTTTGATCAAGAAGGTGATTGAAAACAGTGACTGAAGAAATGTACTAACTGCTGCTGTTCACATGGGGCAGAACAGTGAGAGTCAGATCCTTCATTCTTGGCCTAAGTTGAGCCTTCAGATCACGGACCAAGATGGTGAAACCGTCACGGTGCTCCTGTTCCTTGTCATCCTTGAATTTTCCATAGCCCAAAGTCTTCTTGAGGCCGTGCCAGATTGAGCCAAATGTGCCACGCTGTTTCTTGACTTTCACTGTAGGGAACTGCCAGGCTAGATCAATTCCATCAAAGTCGTAGTCATTCAAGAACCTGTTCACAGAGTTGATGAACTTGGACCTGGTCTCTGGTGTCTCTGTCTGTGAAAGAGGGACGAGTAAAGTTGCTAAATGAAACTGAGTAGAAATTGGGGTCAGTATACTTAATGGATGGAAATTGTACCCTCTGATTCTATAAAAAGGAATACGCTTAATTGAAGTGATTGAACTAGTTGAGCATTAGATCCAGCGAAGTACACACCTACATATCTACCAATTACACTTATTATATGTACCACTTACTAGAATAAGGTATTTGTGAGTTTCCTCTGGAGGATCAGCATTGCCACCGATGCTAAGGTAGACCTTCAAGTCTGGAAAGGCTTTCTTCAGTTGTGTGGCAAGCTTGTAGTAAGAATATCCAGCACCAGTGTCAAGATTGGGACTCAATGGAATAATTTCAAAGTCATTGGCTCTGATCCCCGCGAATCCGTAAATCAGATGGGTGCAGAGGGAGAGGGCTGGACGAACATCTTCCAATTGGAACTTTCCTGGGCCTGGAACAGAATTCAAAATGCTAATGTCTGTTCAGGCTGAAGAGTAGGCAACCACGATGAATGCTTTATTGTCTGAACAACAAAAGGATTTAAGAAAAGGCAGTTCACCTTGTCTCTCAAAAGCTGTACTGTTCCAGTAGCACACAACCTTATTGTGCTCGTGGGTGTCAACGGTAAGCACCGACGGGGCACAGAACGCCGCGAACACGGCGAAAATTAACACTTTCATTCTCGCAGACTGGTTCTGAAACACGATAAAATGGAATATTATAATATTCACGGCACTTTGAGATTTCCTTTAAATTTCGTCTCTAAGATCAGAAACTTAAACCCAGTATGAATAATTCAAGATCTTCACTCCGTGCTTGATGGACCTCCCTTGTGATCTACAAAATAGTGTCCCATAGGGTGATTTAGTATTAACGTGAAAGTGACCAAAGTTGTAATTATTTTGAATGGAAATTTTGAAAATAAATCATAAATGATCCAGAATCCTTACATCGAAGAACTCCCTTTTAGGGGGTGATGTTTAGGGTATCCTAGAGGGTGATCTAACAGTAACTCTTACTACACTAATGGAGCAAGTCCAGCTCAATGAACCGGAGTGGTGCAGGTCTTACCTTTTGGAAAGGAAGAAGCAGACTGTGTGCAACAATTTCTTCGTCGGGGACTTTGATACCTTGGCCTGTTCTCCACGGGCAGTAGTGGGGCCTGTCGATATTACGTCATCGACACAATCTTCCAGAAACAGTTTCTCCGTATGTCCCGCGTGTACACGTATATACAATCGAATCTTGTTGACACGATGATCCGCGAAAGCAAGGCCAGGGGTCCGAAAAATTTCTCGGAAACCCGATTGGACAAAATTGATCAAGAGGACATGCGTCCCGTGATCCGACGAATTGGCGTATCCCGCGAAGGGTACGGTAGCCTGTTGCTTGAAACGTGCTTCTGTTATCGAGTTGATAAAACCGTAAAAAACAACCTTTTATTATTTGATTCTTAGTACTCGATTGTTATTAATTAATTATAATATTCGTTTTTACGTATTGAATGTTAATGCTAAATAATTTCTGAGTTGATAGTAATTGTATTGATTAATGTTAGTACTCATAATATATAATAGTGTTAATTAATAAATTTATGTTTAATTTTCGTCATATAAAAATCATATTAACTCTCATAGTAGGTATCGTTAATTATTAATAATATTTAGTATAAAAGTTATTATATAAAAATACAAATATATATTTCAATAAGTATTAATATAAATTTTAATTATCGATATAATTATTTTTGAGTGTTGATGATTAGTATGCAAAGACAGTTGTTGTTACTAACTTAAATTTATTGAGTTGAAAAATGAATAATACACAAGTTGAGATTGTGTAATGTTTATTATTTATAGCTCTATTATGTTTGCTGTAATCGAATACAGAATTTTGGAAAGTCTAGCAACCCGTGAGCGTAATTTCCATATTGCCTTGTTTACATGCATTATCTAATGTGTTATTCCGCTGGCTGCGAACTATCGGAATATGAATAAGTCTGCGTTAATTTACTAGAACCAAGACACAACCTTTCACTCGGGTTATCGTTATTACGTCGTATCTTGTAGTCTTCAGTCTGAAAACGCCATCCAACCGTTTTCTGCAATTTATTATTAACAGCAGATTGCAATTTTATAATTATTATTAATTTTCATATACCTTGAAAAATTGTAAATAAATTAATATACTATTTGTACCAATTACAATTAGGCTACGTTTAGCTTTATGACACATTGGGTATCAACAATAAATAAATAATTCATTTATTTTCACATGTTACAAATACTCCCCTATATATATATATATCTTGTAACATTAATCCACAGAAATCTACTCCTGCAGACATAAATTATTCTCTATAGTAAAATATTAACATATTACAACAATAAAAGTTATTACATTTCGAGAATTATCTACCAGCAGCCACACCTTCCAAAAACAGAAATTTCTATTCGAAACTCTGGTCATGATGGTCAGTTGCCCCTAGCAATTTATCAAATGGCCCTCTAATGGGATAATCTAATCAGATATTGTGAAGCATAGTGTGATTAGGATGATGTCCCTTTGAAGTTTGGCCCAACACTCCACTACCTACGCCACAGATAGTGATTGTTTAGATAGTCAAATATATTCCTAACGATATTAAGAGCAAATTGATCTTGCCATTAATATTATTCCAAGGTTTATTTTTAAGCTGATTATGGAGGCCTGAGCATGATAATCCGACTTCCTTCATGCTCATCGAATATGACCTACATCAGCAGGCATGATCTCATCTCGAGAGACGTATCGCACAATCGTTTCCAATTACCTTGTCACGAGTCTGCTCGCGTACTTGTTAATTCACGTGCGAAATAACCTTCGTGAATTTACACGAGACGCGTCTCCCGTCTTTGGTCATTCGGTATGCAACACGGCCATTTGCGCTTGGGATTCACCAAGCTCTCAGTTTCCTTATTTTACAGACAATATCGATTTTCAATTGAGATCTTTGATATACCAAGGTAACTTTGGCACACCGAAAACATTGATTTTTTGAAAGTTAAATTAAGATATTTTAGGTTCTGCAAAGTGTAACCCTTAACGTTTAATGTGTCCTTTCCAATTTTCCATTGTATCTGGAAAACTGCAGTAGATATCACAAAATTATTACATAAAAAATTCAGTGGCTTCTTATGCTCTATGAAACCGTACAATGAAATTGTTGAAAATATAGTGTTTGAATAAATTAATTAATAAATGAACAAATATCTAATAATTTTATTACACAGTTTTATAGATCATTGAAAACCATTACATTTTCATTCGCACAATTTTTTTATATCTACTATAGTTTTCAAGATATATGTATTAAAGGCATCAGGCACGTTTTATAGGAAGGAGATATTGTCCTGAAGAGATAATGGATCTAAAGCCAAACGGTGACTAATATGGTAGGTAGAACCAATTGGGTACAATTAGGTTTGCATAAAAAGATCAACGTTTGTATTATCGATTCAAAGTCAAACATTATGCAAACCGGGCAAGATCTCCACGGCTGATTTCATCGAACCGCCTGGAACATTATTTCTTATAATATTTTGCCAGTGAGTCGGTCGCGCACACAGTACGTATGTTACGCAAGTGTCGAACACGATACAGGACGATCGTTCTAGGAAATGATTTGCTGCGTTTTTAATCGTCATTACAACCATAGGAAACGTCGAACATCTCGTGATAAGTGAAATACAGAAGTTTTATTTTCTTGAAAATTAGTGTCAAAGAATGCAGCAACTGGTCAGATTAGTTTCGTAAATAAATCGAAACACTGTATCGGCACATTGTTTTTTATGCTATCAAATATCACACGGAATCTTTTAGGAAGTAGTAAAATCTTTTACACAAATTCAATGAAATACTTTCAGGTACCCAGTTTAGGGCTATGAAATTAGAATGTTCAAGAAGAGGTACAAAAATTTCATATTTTCAATTATTTTGTGAAATGAATAATAAATAAGGCTCTTAGGGATTTATACTGGAGAGCTAAATCTTTAAAAGGAACATGTCGCTTAAACAAATTAGTTAAATATGATATTTATTTGGTGAATATGAACATCGTAAATATAATAAACGAGAGCGGTAGAGCGAGTTGCGGTATCGGTGCTCTCCGTCGGTGTCGACGCGTACCGAACGAGGCCGAAGATGGTCGGAGCGGGCGAAAGGGAGAGAGCGAGAGCGATAGAGCGAGCCGCAGTATCGGTGCTCTCCGTCGGTGTCGACGCGTGCCGAGGAATTTCAGGGGTCTATAGTCTATGGGGGCAGGTGTGCGAGCGAGAGAGTACGGTAGAGCGTGCCGAGTATCGGTGCTCTCCGTCGATCCAACGCGCTAGTGAGTTGCGTCACCCAGTTGAATTGACTTAGCCGTGTACGCCGTGTACCAAGGTCGTACCATCCCGTGCAGGTCTGTGCTTGCT